ACACTGTCCCCCCTCTGTGGGGGGCCAGCGTTCCTTGGCCCTCGATGTCCAACTTGCCAGGCTGAGCTAACGCACGTTTTGTGGGAATGGGCCTAGCTAACCGCACGCCTGCCTGGCTCAGCAGATTTCCCCTCCCTCAGTCTGCGGTCACTGGGATTGCAGATTTCCTGCCAGGTGAGCGATGGGCATGCTGAACAGCATCAGGCTCACACTGATTCCCGGGGAAGCCCACTAGAAACGCCCCCCTTCGATGGTGGTCCCCCATTGACGCCTGCTCTGGGAGAGCTGGCAGTTAGCCAGGGCTTACCCCAGGTAACATGTACCGTATTGAGAGAGTACAGGGCAAATATTTGAAGCAGACAGCTCTGCAGCACTAAGGCAAACGCCTTACAACAGTTACATTTATCGGCCAAACGTGGAAGCTCCTAAAAGAATGCCATGTGTCCCAAACACCGTGGGCTGGCATTGATCATATTCACCCTTTCATTCCTTGTTAGTTGAATCCCATATCAACTTTTCCATTATTTTGCCCCGGGGTTGATGTCAGGCGATATCCCACTTGCCCTTTTTGAATATTGACCTGCCCTTAGCACTCGTCTTGTCTTCTGGAATTTCCCAGCTAGTCCAAGATTTATTTAAAAGTAACATCAGTAGCCCAGAGATCTCCTCAGTCAGCTCTCTTACGATTCCTGGGAGCCAGTTTTCTAGACTTGCTGATTTAAACGTTTGTCCCTAGTAGATGTTGTTTAACAGCCTCCTAAATTGCTAATGGACTGGAAAGTACTTCATCATCCTCATGTGACATGATATGCTTCTTTCCAAACACAGAACAGTTATATTTAATGAACACTTCTGCCTTTTCCGCCTCATTACCAGTTTTACCATCTCTGTCTAGCCAGGCTTATACTATTGTTCTTTCTTTTATTCATAATATACACAAAGACTCCTCATTCTTGCCAGCCATGGATTTTTCCCTTATTAATTTTCTACATTTCATAACTTTAAATTTATATAAATTACCATGTTTCCTCTTTTTCCCACTTGTTATATATAGGTTTTTTAATTTCTAATTGCTGCCTTCACTTCACCACTGAACCAGGAAGGCCTCCTAACCAAAGTTGTCCTTTCTCACTTGTAGAATCGTGGCATTTTGGCCATCTGATTAACTCTTCTTAAAGAACTCCCAATTTGTTAATTTTTGTCTGTCTACATTTTTCCTTCTGATCAATTTCACTCACAATCTTCCTTAGTTGTGGGGCCTCAGCTGTTTGGAAGCACCAGCTCCCCAGTGCAGTTCTGGCACCTTCTTCTTTCCTGTCCTTTGGTGCATGTCACAGTGAGTTAGCATTGCTGTGGGCAGCCGTGTGCCTCCCCGACCCCAGTGCTGACTGCCCTGGGGTCTGGCTGCCTTGGCTCACTCAGGGCAGCAGGGGTCTCGGAGTAGTCGGGGGGAAACAAACGGGCATCACATCTCGCACAGATAACCCAGCTCATGCATTTCCCCCGAGTCCCGTAGGAGCCTGCTGGGCACAGGGCTGAGAGCTGGATTCCAGTCTCACCTGCTGCTACTTGGCAAGTCCCTGCCTCTGTCTCCTGTCCCCCGGCTTGGAGCGGTAGGGACAAGACGCTCTGTTAGCATGTGCTCTGCAGAGGGGGATGTTGTCAGCCCGCCCAGGCATGCCCTGCCAGTGTAGCGTACACACTGACAGAGGCGAGTCCCTGGCCCTGTTGCGCCATGTGCTACCCGAGCAGTGTACCAGACGCCCTACTGCTTGGGCCCATTGCAAGGGGGGAGCTCTCGGAGGGGCGGTGCTGAGAGACCCTTCCTCTGCTCCAGGGGCCCTGTGCGGGGTTGGGGTGCTCAGTGGGGCGGGGCGCATGGCGGCAGGGGGGTCTGGCGCTGCACACAGTCGCATCTCTCGGCTCAGCCGGTCTTTGTAAAGGCCAGAGGCCGAGGGAGGAGGTGGCGGACAGTCTGGGGCGTGTGGAGCCCCGGCTGTGCCGTGCCCTGCTGAGTGCTGGTCCTGTGACTGGGGCGGACCTTGGCTCCTGCCCGGCGCGAGGAGCTGGGCTGGGGCCTGCCCAGGCTGGTTTAGTCATGGACTGTGGGGGCCTGAGTCCTGCTGGGGTATTTGGTGCCGGCCCCGGGGAGGGGTGATGGCTATGGGGGCTTTGCGTGGCATTGCCATGTGGAGGCCAGGCAGCACCTTCCATCTGAGGCTGCCCTCTGGCCTGCAGGCGTCCGCGTGCTGCGCCAGGACCCCGTCGAGTGTCTCTTCTCCTTCCTCTGCACCTCCAACAACCACCTGGCGCGCATCACGGGCATGATTGAGCGCCTCTGCCAGGCCTTTGGGCGCCGCCTCTGCCAGGTGGATGGGGAGCCGTACCATGCCTTCCCCTCGCTGCAGGCCCTAGCTGGTGAGTATGTCCTGCCCCCTCCCCCCGCTGGCTGGCAGCCCCGCGTCTGCCCCCTCCTGCCCCCCCCCCACGCCGGCTGGCAGCCCCACGCCCACCCCCGTCTGCCCCCCCGCGCCCACACACCCCCACGCCGGCTGGCAACCCCGCGCCCGCCCCCTCCTGCCCCCCCACACTGGCTGGCAGCCCCACAGCCGCCCCCTTGTACCCACCTCCGGGCCAGCAGCTCAGCTCCGACCCCCTTGTGCCACCCCCCAGCCCCTGTCCCCCCAGCCCAGCACCCGCCCCCTCGTGGCCCACCCCCACCCCCTGGCAGCCCAGCCCCCGCCCCATGGCTGACCTGCTGTTCTGGGGCAGGGGTTGATGCTGAGCGACGGCTCCGGGCTCTGGGCTTTGGCTACCGGGCAAAGTTTGTGAGCCAGAGCGCCCAGGCCGTGCTGAGGCAGTTTGGGGCCGAGGGGTTGCACCAGCTGCGCGGCACCCCGTACCCGGAGGCCAGGAGGCTGCTGTGCGCCCTGCCCGGCGTGGGGGCCAAGGTGAGTGCTGGGCCCCCAGGGGCTCAGCGCAGGCACCTGGCTCCTTTCACCTCAGCTCTCGCGCGGCGGCTGGGGAACAGGGCCCCATCCTGCAGTGGGCTGAGAGCTGGGGCGGGAGGGGGGCGCATAGGGGATGTGTATGGCAGGAGCAGCTCAATGTAGCGGGCTGGGGGGGCACTGATGGCTGGGGGAGGGGGGGCATGTGGGGGTGGGGACGCTGATGTTTGGGGGTGGGGGGCAGGTGGGGGTGCTGATGGCTGGGGGAGGGGGGGCATGTGGGGGCACTAATGGATGAGGGTGGGGAGCAGATGGGGTGGGGGTGCTGATGGCAGGGTGGGGGGCAGGTGAGGGGCACTGGGGGAGGGGGCAGGGGGGTGCTGATGGCAGGGTGGGGGCAGGCGAGGGGCGCTGATGGCTTGGGGTGGGGGGCAGGTGGGTGCTGATGGCGGGGTGGGGGGCTCTGATGGCTGGGGGAGGGGGCAGGTGGGGGTGGGGGGCGCTGATGGCTGGGGATGGGGCCTGACCGTCTCCCCCTTCCCCCCGGGGCAGGTGGCAGACTGCGTGTGCCTGATGGCACTGGACAAGGCAGAGGCCGTGCCCGTGGACACCCACGTGTGGCAGATCGCCCGGCGGGACTACAGCCTGGAGCCGGGCTCAGGCGCCCGGAGCGTGACGATGCGCGTGCACAGTGAGCTCGGTGAGTGCCGGGGGGGGGGGGGCGCCGGGGCCCCCCCCCGGGGGGAGCTCAGCAAGGAGAGGGGGCGGGGGGGGCGGGGGGCCCGGGGGGGGGGGGGGGGGGGGGGGGGGGGGGTCGCGCTGGGCCACTCCCTGGGTAGCAGCTCAGCAAGGAGAGGGCGCAGGGAGGCCGTGTGGCCCAGGGGCTGCTCCCCCCCTTCACTGGAATTTTCTCTCCTCAGGAGACTTTTTCCGGCAACTCTGGGGGCCCTACGCAGGCTGGGCGCAGGCGGTGAGTAGTGCCCAGGCCATGTCCCCAGAGGGGCCCCCCCCCCCCAGACACGGGCCTGGCCTGCAGAGAGGGGCAGCCCACAAGGTCAGATCCCCCTTCCCACTGCTGGGCGCGCCCTCTCCACCCCCAAGCTCCCCATCTCTCCCTGTCTCGCAGGTTCTCTTCTGTGCTGATTTAAAGACGTTCCGGCAGAATCCTGGCACAAGCGTCAGCATGAAGGGGGGCCCAGCCCCAACAGTGGCTTCTCCGGCCCATTGCAGACCCACCGCTGCCCTGGAAGCAGGGGGGCAGGACTCGGCTTCGCCTGGGGCCACAGGGACTCTGTGCACAGAAGCAGCTCCAGCCCCTTGTGCCCAGACTGGCAAATGCCACCGTGGGGTCAGCCGGAAGCGGCCCCGTGGGGAAAAGTGCTGCACCAGCCCCGGCCCCTCCCCACAGGGGGCTGGGCACTGAGCTGTGCTGGTGGGGGAGGGGAGATAACAGAGCAGGGCGGGCCCAGTTACAGCCTCTCTTCAGGGCTGTGCCCGGCTGAGGGCTGGGTGTATGGACCGGTCCGTAATGTAGACTATCAGCATCCAGAGCAGCTGGAGGTGAAACGGGGGGGAGGGTGGCTCAGTGCATGTTTATAGGCCAGGCTGGAGCAGTGATATGGCACCCACCAGGGCGAAAGGCCAGTACCCGCCCAGCTTGGCTCAGCACAGCCACCCAATGAGGAAGCCGGTGTGGCGCAGCTGCCGGCCTTTGACGAGCACAGCATGGCTTGAGGGTGGCGGAGAGCCCACGCGAGCCGGGCTTGGGCCCTTCCTTATGGCCGTAACCCTGGTACCCTACCCAGAGCTGGAGGGCCTGGCACTGGGAGGCGCACACTGCCAGCCTGCCTTGCAGGGTCTGCCGAGGGTTCCCATGTGCACTCATTCACCCTCCCCCTCGGGTCACCCCCCCCATGTCACAGGCTGGGGGGCCTGGGGCACTGACCCAGCAGAGCCTTGCCTTGGCCCGGCCACAGCGCGAGTGGATGGAGGCGGGGGAGGGGGGGGAATTCGTCCCCCTGGCCAGGGCCCCAGTGAGCAAAGCCGCCGGGCTGCATTCGCTGCTTTCCTTTAATACAAGCGTCAACGTAGAAACAGCCTTGCGTGGAAATTCTGCTTGACCATGCGGGGAGGGGCCGGGGACATGGGTGTGGGGGGCAGGAACGGGGGCTAGAAGTGGGGACTGCAGCTAGGTGAACCGGCCCCTTGTTCCACGGCAGAGTCCAGCCCCAGCCAGTCACCCTGCAGCTGGGCTGCACCAAGCCCTACCCCCCGCAGTGGAGCTAGGCATGTAGCCTGCTCAGGGCCCCTTGCTGGGGGTCTGGCCAGAGCCCAAGCCCCAGCTCCCCTGGTACCTGAGCTCCCTCCTGTGGAGCGGAGGGAGGGAAGGGGGCTGAAGTGTCGTGAGCAAGTACATGCAAGCCCCAGCATAGGGGGATCAGTGTGCCTAGCCCAGGCGTGGCCCCCAGGGAGGATGGGCCCTGGCTCTGCCCCAGGGGAAATGCTGGGTTCCGAGCCTGGACCCTGCAGGGGGGCGGCCATGCCCCAAGCGCCAGCTGCTGTTGCTGTCTCCCCCGGAGTCTCAGTCCCAGGCCAGCTCTCTGCTGTGCCCTGCCAGGGCTGCGTCCAGTCGCCCGGCTTGGCGCATGGCAGCCGCCGCAATGAGACGCCAGCGCCACCCACCCCGCGCAGGTCGTCCCCGAGGCCAGGGCCCCCGTGGGGCAGTGCTGGCGAGGCAGAGCCATGCTGGGTGCCGTCAGTCCTGGGGGGGGCGGTGAGAGCTGGGCCCCAGCGACCTGTCACAGCCCCTGGAGTCTGACCCTGCCGGGAGAGAAGAGGCCGTCAGACGCAGCGTTCCTGCCTGGGGACTCGGCTCAGCCTGGCACGGGAAATATGGGCAGGGGCTGGACAGTGGGATCGAGCCCTAGCCAACAGAGCCCACCCAATTCGGTGTCCCTGGCCTGGCCTCGTTCTGGAGACTCACCGTTGCTGGCGCCAGCCTCCAGCAGGTCGCAGGGGCTGGTTGGAGTGGTTTGCCCAGGTCCTTCCTGGCTGGTTCCAAGCTGCAGCTTCCTCATGTGTCTCACCACGGCGGTGGCATTGAACGCTTGCTGCACCAGGACAGAGGGGCAGTATGAACGGGTGCCGCGAACGGCACCAGCCCCAGGGCAGCAAAGGCACAGGAGTAGGGCCCTACTAAATTCATGGCCAGAGCGTGAAAACTGGTCTTTGGTGTGCTTCTACCCCCTACAGTACAGATTTCACAAGGGAGACCCACGTTTCTCAAACTGGGGGTCCTGACCCAAGAGGGAATTGCAGGGGGGGGGTCACAAGGTTATTTTAGGGGGACTGTGGTATTGCCACCCTTAGTTCTGCGCTGCCGGCGGAGCTGAGTGGCCAGAGAGCATCCAGCACCACAGGCAGCGGCACAGAGGTAGGGGTGGCAATACCGCAGTCCCCCTCCACGACTCCTGTTTGGGTCAGGACCCCACAATTACAGCACCTGACATTTCAGATTTAAAGAGCTGAAATCATGACATTTACAATTTTTAAAATCCTATGACTGAAATTGACCAAAATGGAGGATGAATTTGGTAGGGCCCAGCAAGTGCTGCCACAGCGCCCCCCCCAGAGCACCCCCTGCTGGCAGAGGCCAGGGCTGGCGTTGGGAGCTGCCAGGGTTGGGGTGGCGTAGCTGTGGGTCGCTGGGTGAGGCGGGGGGACAAGACACTCACTTTCCACTTGCTCTTGGCGAAGTTCTTTTTGATCTGTTCACTGACAGACTGGTGGATGTTCTTGTCCAGCGCAGTGTCTCCAGCGATCCTGAGACGGGCACAGAGGGGGGGGTTGGTGCCCAGGGAGGCAGGATCCTGGCAGCTCCCCCCCGCCCACTGCTTAACGGGCAAGGCTGGGGGCAGAATGACCCAGCAGTGGCCAAGCCCCTGGCTGTGGAGGGACAGTCCCTGTCCCACTCCAGGGACGCCCTAGGGTGGGGTAGCTTGTCAAAGGGGACCCCCCGGAGGGACACAGGATGGGCCCCTTACCAGGGGTGCTGCAGGGCCTGCTCACATGTGAAGCGCTTGCTGGAATCCTTCTCCATTAAGTGCTGGATGAAATCTTTGGCTAGAACCAGAGAGAATAAAGACCCATCATGG